AAAAAAAAAAAAAAAAAAAGTTTAAACATAGTAATCAAATTCTCACAAGAGAAAAATACAAATTCTCACAAGAGAAAAATATAAAATATAAATAAATACAGTCAGAAGACTACTGAACACGAGAATACAAAGATGACCCATATATGGAACATGCCAACAAGGGAACAAAATGAGAAAAAAAAAAAAATTATAATATTACCCTATTCCGCTGAAAGCTGAAGTGTGGTATGACATATAAGAAATCTGCAATTTTCTTAACAAATTCTGGATTGCAGCACAGTTCACTTGAACCAAGTACCACCTGAAATCGGAGCTGACAGCCATGAACTCCCCAAACAAGGCAGATAACATATATACGAAAATGTATTTGAGCTATTGAAGGTATCAAAAACTAAGGGTCAACAGAAAACCTTCACAGAGGAACTTAAATCAGAACTTGAAGGGTAGAGATCAACTTTGATATTTAGAGAAGGCTCCTCCTTTACAAGAACCTCATCCAAGGACTTGACCTACAAAACAAAGCCCAATATAGCATACTTATAATGCATATATGATGCAAACAAATCCCTGCAATGATGCAAACTGATTCTGCCAGCTATTACTGAGAATATCATCCAACCATGGGATGCTCTTATAAGCCCCAAACATCTAACGACAAATCCAACATACTTATGTCACACATCAAGAGAGTCACATATTGAACTATTATACAACAAGCTCCTACAAGGGCACAAGACCCAGCAAGTAACACAGCACAAAACTTCAATAATATGTTTATTCCAATAAAATATACAAAAGGTAAGGCAGAAAAGTGGAGGCCATCGACATTAATCATTCATGAATGGAAAGTAATAGTTTCATTAATAGATTTTCTTAAGAAATACCATAGAAAATGAAGTTGACAAAAACTTCCAACAATGGAAGGGAAAAATTCATACAATATTAACACAATACATAAAATGATTTCACAATCCATCTACATTTGAAATGAAACCATTGTTTGAACTGTGAATCGCAGCTATTATATCCTCTTTAAAATGTAAAAAACTTCCACAACTTCACCGCAGAAAGCGGTGTTTGTACTTTGTATATCAGTACACATTGCGTACTTCTTAAATGATCTTTTTTGTAATTAGTCAATTGCTTATTTAGAAAAGAACAGAATCAGATCACCACCCAGTAATTATAAAGGCACCACCATGGCACTAGGCAGCGCTCACAAGTGAGGTGAGGTGACCATGAGAAAAGTGTTGCCTCACATGAGATGTTGGCGCCCTGAGGAGCAAATCCCTAATTAAAAGCACCAACGTTTTTCCAAAGGAAAGAACAAAATTACACAATTACACAACTTTTTCAAAACGAAGCCGTCGAATGGGCTTGACATCCCTTCATCCGACCTTCACTATTGATCTCCATGATTTCGCGCTGAAAACAGTTAAAGCACGCTTCTTTCACTTTCTTTTACTTTATTTTCCCCTTCTTTGTTAGTTGTTTTCGATGGGTTGCCCACAGAGCCCAGGGAATGGCAGGCCATAAAAACTTGCCGGAGTTTCCCCGGCTAGCGATCTATTTGGTGTTCTTTTCTGTTCATATTTTTGCTATTTTTGGCAGAATTCAATTTTCTTTATTTCAAATATGTCTAATGTGACTGCAGAAAAAGTTCTATGATGCAGCTGAAACTGAAATTTGTGGCTTCAAATAACCTTTTTTGAGACAGCTTGTTTGACTTTTTGGATATTTATATAAATTGCTCAGTTATAGGCTCAAGTATTTTTCCAACTAATTTTTGCGGATGGAGAATGACTATGAAAAGGATATTCCTTGAAAATTCAGTCAGAAACAAAACCACCATGCATGCTTTTACATGCAATGTGTGGGACGGTGTTGAAGGTAGCAACCTCGAGCGAAGCAACCTTTAGTTAGAGGAAGAGAGTTTATATCTTAGAAAATAGGTAATAAGAAACAAATGGGGTAAGAAAATATTAGCATATAAGGGATAATAAATTAGTTAAAATCCCTAAGATTAAGCACCAATTAAGATCCCAAAAACCACCATAAATATTCTAAAATTGATTGCCCTTCAGCCTTTCATCTCTATCAGATTCAATAAGGCATTTAATAGGGCATGGGTAAAAAGTGGCGTAGGGCGATCCATTGAACCATAAATTATCAGTTATTAGTAAGTTAAACTCTCTCTCTCTCTTTTTGTCTATGCACCCACCCACACACACACACACACACACACACACACACATATATATATATATGTGTGTGTGTGTGTTTGTGTGTATGTATTTATGGTGGTTTTTGGGTAAAAAGTGGCGCGGGGCGATCCACATGGAACCATAAATTATCAGTTATTAGTAAGTTCAACTCTCTCTCTCTCTCTCTCTCTCTCTCTCTCTC